AGTCGTCCTCGACAGCGCCCTGGGCTGCGTCGGCGGCGGCGAGTCGCGCGGCCTCGAGGTCGACGCGGACCCGCCGCCGCTCGACGCGGCCACGTACGGCGTCCCCGACGACTACCCCGCGTCGCTCCACTCCTCGGCGCCCTGGGCGGGCGGCGGTGCCCGCGAGGCCGCCGGGCCGCCGACCTGGTTCGGCGGCGACGTCGCCTGCCACGGCGCGCGGCGTTTAGCGGCGGGCGAGGCCGTCCGCGTGCGGCGGCCGCTGCGCGACGGCAAGCTCGAGGACTGGGACGCCGTCGAGGAGCTCTGGGCCCGGGCCTTCGCCCAGATGCGGCGGCCCGGCCCGCCGCGAGATGACGGGCCGGGCCACCCCGTGCTCGCGGCGTACCCGTCGGACGCGACCGCCGTCGCGCGCGAGCGGTACCTCGAGCTGCTCTTCGAGACCTTCGGGTGCGAGGCGGCCTACCTGAGCCGCGCGGCGACGCTCGCGGCCTTCGCCGCCGGGCGGCCGTCGGCGCTCGTCGTGGACTGCGGCGCGGGGTCCACGTCCGTCGCGCCCGTCGTCGACGGCTACGTGCTCGGCCGCGGCGTGCGCCGGAGCCTCCGGGGCGGCGACCACCTCGACGCCCGGGTCGCGGCGGCGGCCAAGGCCCAGTGCGCCCACTGGGCGCCGCGCGCCGCGCTCCGCGGGGTTTCTGGCGGCGCGGCGTCGGCCGCCGCGGCGTACGCCGCGTGGCCGGAAGGCTTCCGCGACTTTGTGGACCGCGGCGCGGCGCGCGACCTCAAGGAGAGCCACTGCGTCGTGCCCAAGGGCTACGGGTTGGCCGTCCAGGTCGCGCGCGACAAGCAGTCCTTCGAGCTCCCGGACGGCACCGTCGTCGACGTGAGCCCCGAACTCGCGCGGTCGCCCGAGTGCCTCTTCGAGCCCGAGCCCGAGCCCGACGCCGCCGACGGCGACGGCGACGCGGCCATGGCCGACGCCGCGCCCGCGCCCGCGCCCGCCGACGGCGCGCCCGCGCCCGCGCCCGCGGACGCGGCCGCGGCGCCCGCGCCCGCGCCCGCCGCGGCGCCCGCGCCCGCGGCCGCGGCCGCGGCCGCCAAGCCCGCGGAGCCGCCGGCGGTCGCCGCGCTGCCGGAGATGATCCGCGCGGCCCTCGAGCGCGTCGACGTCGACGTCCGCAAGGACCTCCTCCTCAACCTGCTCCTCACCGGCGGCGGGTCGTGCTTCGCGGGCCTCCCGGAGCGGCTCCACGGCGACGTGAGCCTCGCGCTGTCGTCGCCCTTCAAGGTCAAGGTCGTCGCGCCGTCCAAGTTCGAGCGCAAGTTCGGCGTCTGGATCGGCGGCTCCATCCTCACGTCCCTCGGCTCCTTCCAGCAGATGTGGCTCTCGAAGCGCGAGTACGACGACGACGGGCCCGCGCGCCTCGTCGAGGGCCGCTGGGACTGAGATGTCACTTTAGTAAGCGCCCGACCTAGTCGAGGGCGAAGCCGACCTTGCGGGGCTTGGCCGCGCTCACGGGCGCGCCGTCGTCGTCGCCCGCCGCGGACCGCTTCAGCGCGGACCGCGGCGGCGCGACCTTGCCGCCGCGGCGCAGCGACGGCGCCGGCGGCGGCGAGTCCCCCCCCGGCGCCTCCTCGGGCGACACGGGCGCGTAGGCCGGCGCGTCCGGCGCCGGCGACGTCGCGCCGACCTCCGCGGCGCGCAGCCGCTGCTTCTTGAAGAACTTCTCCGCGTGCGACCGCGTCTGCGACCGGCTCCGCGTGCCGATGTGGCGCGCGACGGCCTCCCAGGAGTGGCCGTACTTGGCGATGCCTACGCGAGAAACGGTCCTCGTCGCCGTCGCGGTCTCCGTTCGGACGCGGCGCGAAACCTTCGAGGAGCCGGTCGTGCTCGTCGTCGGCCCAGATGCCCCGGTTCATGCCCGGGTCGAGCTCGACGACCGCCGGCGCGACCTTGGCGGGCGTGATCGCGTGCCGGCTCGCGACCTGCGGCGACGCGTCGAGGAGGCACGCAAGGTCTCGCGGGCGCCGGGCGGCCGCGCCTCGTCGCCCTTGGCCTCGTAGTCGTGGAGGCTCGCCTCGAAGAAGCCGTGGAACGTCGCCAGCAGGTCCTTGTCCTTCTTCCCGAAGAGCTTCGCCGCGCGCGACTCGAGCAGCTGCGGGCGGACGCGTTCGAATTCGAACGGGCGAGCGTCGGCGCGCGCGCGCGCGACGGAAAGTGGAAAGCGGAAAGCGCGCGCGCGCGCATCATGACGCCGTAACGCCACGAAGCGCGTGCACTTCTTGCGGAGGTAGTCGCGGAACATCTTCTGGAACTCGTCGAACTCCGCGGAGCCGCACGGGTAGCGGACGAGGACGTCGCGGACGAAGAGCTGGTAGGCCGTGAAGTCCGCGTTGGTCGCCGGCTTGGCCGCCGGCGGCGGCGGCGCCTTCGGCGGGCTCGCCGCGAGGATCTGCGGCATGATGAGCTCCTGGCGCAGGGACACCCGGCCGTCGTCGGGCGCGAGGTCGGGCACGTAGGGCGACTTGGGCTCGAACTCTTGCAAGTCCTGCAAGTTAAAGAGGTCGTCGCAGGACAGGGAGGCCTTCATGGTGGCCATCGGTGCAAGTCACGCGGTATCGGAGACGACTTTTGGCGCTCAAACTCGGCGAAGAGACGCGATTCTCACTTTCGAGTTTTCATCTGTGGATGTACGAGCTCGTCCCTCTCTCCGCTAAAGTTCGAGGCCTTGTTACGCCTCTTGTTCCCCCTCGAGCTCAGAGTCGAGGACTCCCTCGAGGCCTCCCTCGGACGACCAAACTCGGAGACGGCGCGCGAATCTTAGGCCGCCGCGCCGCGCGGCGTCTCCCCGGCCGCTCACTCGTCGTCGCTGTCGTCGTCGCCGCCCGCGCCCTCGGCCTGCTGCTTGGCCTTGTAGGCCGCCATCTCGCGGTCGTAGCGCTCCGCGTCCGCGGTCGCGAGGTCGACGTAGGGCTTCTTGTCGTCGTCGGTGAGCTCCTTCCAGCGCTTGCCGAGCTCGCGGCCGATGTCGCCGAGGGAGAAGTCCGGGTGCTGCTCCTTGACCTCGGCGCGCTTCGCGTTGCCGAACATGATGTAGGCCGACGACTTGCCCTTGGGCGCGTTGGGGTCCTTCTTCTTGCGCTTCTTCTTGGGCTCGGCCTTCTCCTTCTTGGGCTCGGCCTTGCGCTTCTTGGGCTTGGGCTCCGCGGCGGCCTCCTTCTTGGGCTTCTTCGCGATCTTGGGCGCCTCGTCGTCGTCGGAGCCGTCGCCGTCGCCGTCGTCGTCGTCGTCGTCGTCGTCGTCGTCGCTCGCGGGCGCGCCGGCGTCCTCGTAGTCCTCGTCGGGCGAGTCCTCGTCGTTGGAGTCGCCGCCGCGCGCCGCGGGGGCCGCGTCGTCGTCGTCGTCGTCGTCGGAGCCGATGCCGAGCGCCTCCTTGGCGGCGTTCGTCGCGCGCGCGGCCGTCTCCTGGAGGTTGCGGATCTTGAGGCCCTTGGACGTGAGGAACTCGAGGAGGGGCTTGTACTCGGCGCGCTCGATGGACGTGAAGGAGTGGTCCTTCGGCGGGTCGCCGCCGACGGAGCGCATGGAGACCTTGAGGTCGAAGTTCTTCGTCGCCGAGCCCTGGCCGTAGCCCGAGAAGCGCTCGAACTCGACGGAGGCGACGTCCTCGAAGCGGAGCACGAGCGTGGGCTTGTGGACGAAGACGAAGGACCGCTCAAGCGGGTAGAGCTGGCCCGTCGACGCCTTGACGGAGCAGTTGACGGCGTGGCGGTCGTCGTTGGACCGGAACTTGCCGGTGGTGAAGACCTTCTTGCCGCTGAGGACCTTGAAGACGCGCGCGACGAGCTGGTAGAGCGGTCCCGCGAGCTCGGGCTTGAGCCCCGAGCCCGCGCCGTAGCGCTCGGAGAGCTCGGCCTCGCTCAAATTCACGGTGATGGCCTTGTCGCCCTTCTTGAGCTGCCAGACGAGGTGGCCGTAGCGCTGCTGGCCCTGGCGGATGGGCTTGTCGAGCGCGATGATGAACGCGTAGTGCACGTCGTCGGTCCGCGGCAGCAGGATGAAGCGCTCGACGTCGGCGAAGTTGATCTTGTAGTCGTACATGTTGCCGTGCATGCGGAAGAAGTCGCCGTACATCTCGACGGCGTAGCGGCCGCGCGGGAGGAGGAACGCGCCGTCCTCGGCGCCGAACTGCGCGAGCTGCGTGCCCGTCACGGACGTGAGCTTCGAGTACTCCATGATCTTCGCGTGGACGCGCGCGGCCTCGCCCGCGTCGTCGTCGTCCTCCTCCTCGTCCTCCGCGTAGGACCGCGACCCCGGCGGGATGTAGAGGCGAAGTTCGACGAGCTGGTGGTCGTCGGGCGCGGCCTTGTCGTCGAACTGCATGGTCACCTCCTTCTGCTCGCCGGCCTGCTTGCCGACGCCCGCGGGCAGCACGCACTGGCTCACCTTGGACAGGTCGATGTCGAACAAGCGCTTCGGCTCCTTGCCCTCGCCGGGCGCCGTCTGGTGAACTACCAAACGCTGGCCGTCCTCGAAGCTGTGCTTGCCCCGGTTCACGCCCGACGAGCAGAACTCGACGTCGCTCAGCGCGACGCCCTGGTCCTTGAGCGCGCCGCCGAGCGTCTCCTGGTCGCGCCGCGCGAAGCCGTCGAGCTTGAGCAGCTCCGACCCGTCGGCGCCGAAGAGCGTCGCGCAGCCGTGCTTGCCGAAGGTCGACCAGGACGCGCGCGACACCTCCGCCGCCTTGACCTTCTTGCTCTTGCCCTCCTGCTTGTTGAACCACTTGATCTCCTCGCCGACGCTCAGCGAGCCGACGCCGCCTACGACAGGAGCGCGCGCGTCAAGGTGTGGGCGCGCGCGCGCGCGTCGCGGTGCGCCGCGTCGCGCCATAACCCGCCAGGCGCAGGTTGTTAAAGACGCTCGTCATAGCGCGCGCGAGTCGGCCCGCGCACAGCTGGGCCACTCGACGACGCGCAAGGCGAGTTTTGTAATCTCGGGCTCGGCGGATCTGCGCGGCCCAGGCGGCCTGTCTCGCCCGGGGTGATTGCCAGAAACCGCGGCGAAACGCGCTCCCGGCGCCGCGCCGCACGACGGGCGATCCACGCGCTCGGCGGCTCGGCAGCGAGCGTCGGCTCGGACGGCGCTGCGAGGCGCCGCGGCCGGCGGGACCCGGTCCCTGCGTGTACGGCCGCGCGCGGCTCGCACGTGAGGCTCGCCCGTGGTGCAAGTTCCCCCCTTCAACGTCACGGTTAAGTTCATCACGTATCTGCGAACTAAAACGCCAGTCCTTCGTGCTTTGGTCTGGTGTGAGCGCCCGTGCCGCGGCTCTGGGCCGGCCCGGGGCCATGTGGCGCGCCGTGGCGGTGGCCCTCGCGGCGGCGGCCGTCGCGGCGAGCTCCGTCGACGCGCCGGCGGCGGCCGGCGCGGCGCCGGCGGGCGACCCGTACGGCGGCCCGCCGGCGCCGGAACGGGCAGCCCGCGGGCGCTGGGTCTACGTCGCCGAGAGCGACGTCGACGGCGCGAGCGACGCGGCCTGGGAGCGCGCGGCGCGCGAGCGCCTCGAGGCGGACCTGCGCGACCGGGTGCTCGCGGAGCACAACGCGACGGTCCACGTCGGGAACGGCACGGGCTTCCACGACGAGCACCACGGCGGCGGGCACCACGCCCACGTGCACAAGGTGTTGGTTTTCCTCTTCACGGCGCTGGCCGCGGGCGCGCTGACCCTGTTCCTCATCAACCACTACGTGCCGAGTCTCCCTTACACGCTCGCGCTCTACATCGAGGGCCTGATCCTCGCGATCATCATCGACCGCGCGCGGACGAGCCTGGAGCCGAGCCTCTTCTACCAGACCGTGCGCATGTGGGAGCACATCGGCCCCCACCTGCTCCTCTACTCCTTCCTGCCGATCTTGCTGTTCGGCGACAGCATGTCGATCAACACGCACCTTTTAGCGCAGAAGCTGATCCACTGCATCACGCTGGCCGTGCCGGGCGTCATGCTCGGCACGACGATCACGGGGTTGGTCGTCTGGCTCCTCTACCCCTACGACTGGAGCTTCTGCTTCTGCATGATGTTCGGCGCGATCATGTCCGCGACGGACCCGGTGGCCGTCGTCGCGCTGCTCAAGGACCTGGGCGCGTCGCCGGCGATGACCATCGTGATCACGGGCGAGTCGCTCTTCAACGACGGCACGGCCATGGTCGTCTTCCACCTCTTCTTCGAGATCATGTCGGCCTACCGCAAGGACGGCGCGGTCTACGACGTGACGTCGCCCGGCGACTGGTGGTCCATCCTCGTCTTCTTCGTCCGCATGGCCGTCGGCGGGCCGCTCATCGGCTTCGCCTTTGGGTTCATGGCGCTGTGGGCGCTCATGCGGTGCACGCGGAGCCACGAGCACGTCGACGCGACGCTGCAGTCGACGATCACGCTCGTCTGCGCGTACCTGTCCTTCTTCGTCGCGGAGCAGTGCGCCAAGGCCTCGGGCGTGCTCTCCTGCGTCTGCGCGGGGCTCGTGCTGGCCAAGTACGCGTCGCCGCTGCTCGCGAACCGCCACGCGATGCACCACATCTGGGAGATGTTCGAGCACGTGGGCAACACGGTCATCTTCATGCTCGCGGGCTTGCTGACGGGCGAGGCCTACTGCAACCTGCAGGTGGGCCTGGGTTTGTTGTGCATGGGCTTCGTGTCCTACGTCGTCGCCATGTTCGTGCGGTGCGTCATGTTATTGATCCTGTGGCCGTGGATCGCGGCGCTGGAGAAGGACCAGCCCGTGGGGAAGAAGCTGGGCTGGCGCGAGGGCTGCGTCATGGCCTGGGGCGGGCTGCGGGGCGTCGTCGGCCTCGCGCTCGCGATCATCGTCTACGACGAGGCGAAGAAGCCGGGCATCCGCATGTCGGAGCACGAGGGCAAGCTCATCCTCTTCCACGTCGGGTCCGTGGCGTTCCTGACGCTCCTCATCAACGGGTCGACGTGCGCCTCCTTACTGCGGGTCCTGGGCCTGACGGCGATCAACACGACGGAGAGCATCCTCCGGCGCCACGTGAAATTCACGGTCGCCGCGCGGTGTCGGAACCACCTCGTCGAGGAGATGGACCAGATCACGCAGAACTGCGGCAGCGAGCACTGGCGGGCGATCCTGCCCCAGGAGGTCTTACCCTACTGCTCCGTGCTGAACCTGCCGGGCATGCCGCCCGAGGGCTTCATGGCGCGCGAGACGGTGCAGAACCAGCACAACCCGCAGCTCGCCCAGGCGTCCAAGTCGATGCCCGGCAAGGCCGACCCCCACTTCAGGACCGATTCGCTCACGGGCCAGCGGCGCCGGCGGTCCATGGTCGAGCAGGCGGGCGGCGCGGTCGTCGCGGGCCTCCGCAAGTCCGCGGCGTCGCTCGCGTCCGCGCTCGAGGGCGGCGGCGACGACGGCGACGGGTCCCACGTCAAGCCCGTGAAGCAGCGATTGACGCTCATGACCGTGCACCGCGTGTCCATCGCCGCGCGCAAGTCGCTCACGAAGGTCGGCGACGAGTCGACGGTGCTGCTCGCGCAGATGCGGACGATCTTCCTCCAGGTGCTCCAGGCCGAGTACTGGAACATGATCGCGTCCAACAAGATCCCCGAGGGCATCCCCGTGGCGCGCTGGCTCATCGACTCCTGCGAGCTCGCGCTCGACAACGTGTCCGAGCCTCTGTCGGACTTCAAGTATTTGGCCCCGAAGTGCTCCGCGTCCATGTTCATCCGCGACGCGGACCGGGGGGGAACCCAGAAGAAGTCGGGGGGCCGGCGCCTCTCGGCGACCATGCTCGAGCACGTCGCCAAGGTCACGCACCCGTCGCTCAAGGCCCGGTTCGTGGACGTCGTCGACAGGGTGCGGCTCCAGCTCAAGCGCGCGAACATCTCGACGCGGTCCAAGGAGCAGGCGTTCCTCGTGCTCATCTCCTTCCGCGAGGCCCACGCGCGCGCGCTGACCAAGGTCGACAGCTTCTGGTGCTCCACGGAGGAGGACAAGGCCGCGACGGAGGGCGACCGCAAGATCATCGCGGGCGAGTCGAAGCACGAGGTGCGCCAGGCCAACGAGATCCTCAAGCTCATCGACCCGAACCTCGAGGTCGCGATCCGCACCTACCTCGTGGCGTCGCAGATCCTGCGCAAGCAGGAGAAGATGATCATCGCGATGCAGACCGAGGGCATGATCCTGCCCGGGAGCCGCGACGCGCTGCTGGAGGACGTGCACCACGACATCGAGCGCCTGGACCACGAGTTCTCGCTGCGCCAGGAGCTGCTGAAGAAGACCGCGCGCAACGTCCGCGCGCGCTTCGTGTCCATCGGCCGCGCGGGCTTCACGGCCGCGGACCACGGCCTCAAGGCGGGGGGGCGGTCCATGGCGTCGGCCGTCGAGGGCACGAAGACCAAATTCCACGAGACCGTGTGCAAGCGGGGGAGCACGCAGTCGTCGCTCCTCGGCGAGGCGCTCGTCGAGGGCGAGGAGGAGGACTCGCCGCGGCACGAAAAGCCCGAGCCCGAGGAGGAGAAGGCGCCGCCCGACAAGCCGACGTCCGTCGAGGAGCTCAAGCACCTCATCGCCGACTCCATCGAGCAGATCGAGGACATGGGCAGCGTCAGCTCCGCGGGCGCGCTGTCGCGCAACGTCTCCGACCTCGCGATCCAGGACACGTCCGTTTCCACTCGCAGGCGTCCTACTCGCGGAGGGACGGCGACGCGCCGCACTGACCCCCCGCCCGCCCCTCGCTCGCCTCGCTCGCCTCGACCCCCCAAGGCACAAAGCCCACATTCCCCCATCTCCCCGCGGCGCGTCGTGCGCCGCTCTTTATGTCTCCTTTCTGGTCTTCGGAGTTACGTCGCTCCCTACCGTCGTGGTCGCTCTCTTCGTCGCCGTGGATCGGGGTCGGCGCCGCCGCGGTCCGCTTCGTCGAAGAAGCGGCGGACGCGGGCGGCGCGTCATGACGTCCACGCGCGGCGCCTGTCGGGAAACGCGGAGCGCGCGGGGGCGGCCGCGCGCGCCGGCGCCGCGTGGTCTGCGAACGGGGGAGCGGCCGGCCGGGGGGCGTCGCGGCCGTTCCCTAGAGCTCCGCCGCGGGGACGCGCTTGATGAGGTCCTTGAGCACCTTCATCCGGAGCTTGATCCAGTTCATGGCCTCGGGCGTGAGCTTCGACTTGAGCATCTTCGCGAGGCGCTCGTTCTGCGCCTCGTAGTCGGCCAGCGACTTGCCGTCCTTCCACTTGCCGATGTAGTCCTTCTGCTTGTCCGAGCAGCCCACGAAGTCCTCGACGTCGCACGCGGACGTGCCCGCGGCCGTTTCCACGTAGGCGAACATGTGGTCGATGTCCTTCAGCTCCTCGCACATGGCCTTCTCCGTCTTCTTCTCGTAGGGCGCGCCGCCGACGCCCGTGTCCGCGTTGAAGTAGCGGATCGTCGGCCAGCCGCCGGCGCCTGGGTTGAACGGCGTGCCGTCCGATGCCTCGGCGACGGGCGCCTCGGAGAGGTTGACGTCGCCGAAGACGACGTCCTTGTTGTCCTTGAAGGCGCCGAGGGCCGCGACCCACCCCGGCGTCTGCTTGACTCATCAGCCTCAGCCCTCCGACGCGATCCAGCGCACCATGGCCGTCTTGCCGTCGGCGATGGCGCCCTCGACGAAGTCGTTGAAGGTCTCCGCCGTGAGCTTGTTGTAGCTCACGCCGGGCGGGTAGGTGCCGCCGCCGGGACCGGCGGACGCGGCGCCGAGCGCCAGCGCGAGCGCGACGGCGCGGAAAGCCATTGCGATTTCGGAGGCAGCCCCTTGTGTGGCCAGGTGGAAGCGCGCTGGGCCTTGGGCGGGGGTCGGCGGGGCTGATCGCGCGTGCCCCTCAGGCTCGGCGAGATCGTCTCGACATTCGCGACCGTGAACGAAGACGTGCGCCAGCTCGACGTCAAGCGACAGGTGCGCGAGCTCTGCCTGGACGGTAGCGGCTCGGTGGAGCAACTCACCGTGGCCGTCCGACTCTCCGCGCTCAAGGAGCCGCTCGATAGCGATCGCCAACAGCGATCTCCAGCGGGAAAAGTGCCGACGGGTCGGAGACGGTACCCGTCAGCTGGGTCGAGAGCCGACCCCAGACGGAGCGCCAGAGGCGGTCGAACTCGGTCGGTCCCGGCGCGCCCCACAGCCGCTCCCGAATGCGTTTCGGCCCGGGCCGGCCGCCGCGGCCGCGGCGAAAGCGAAGGCGGAAGCCGACGCCAAGGCCCGCGCCGAACTCATGGCGGCGCGCGAGAAGGCCGTACTAGTAACCTGACTCAGTGAGCCATGGCTGCGACGCCACCTACGCTGCGCGCCTGGGGCCACGCGGGCAAGCCGGAGTACTTCGCCTACGTGAAGCAGAACGTACGAGTCGTGCAAACATGGCGCTTCCTGGCGTTTGCGGGCGAGAAGCTTGACCCGGCCACACTCCGCGTCATCACCGAGTCCGCCCCGACGGACCCCGCCGCCGCGAGCCGGGAGCATCTCGGGCCGGGCAACACTGGGCCGTGTCATAAAAATCGTCGCAGTGAACAACCTCGAGACCAAGGTCCCCTCGTCGAGCCTCTTCTCGGAGAACGTGGAGCGGCTCGCGGACGAGCCGGACGCGCGGGCGCTGAGCCGATCGATGCCCACTCGCCGAGGAGGCCTCCGAGGAAATCTCCACAAACTCCCCTACCGAGGCTTGGGTGGACGCGATGGCCGCCGCCCGCGCCCTCACGCTGCACTACTTCGGCGACCCCTGCGGCGACTTGTCGCTCAAGGTGTCGCTACCCGAAAAGACGACGCGGAGCAAATGCGGCAAGCTCGCGACCATGTTCCACAAGAAGTACGCCGCCAAGCACCCCGGCTGGGCCGTCGCCGCCGGGGCGCTCCGGCTCGAGCGCAAGGGCGCGGCCGTGGCCCTGGACCGCATCATCTGCGACGTCTTCCCGGGCTCGGGTCCCCTCGAGCTCGTCGTCAAGTCGCCCGCGAACGCGCCGGCGGCGGCCGCGCCGGAGCCGCCGCCGGAGCCGCCGGCCGCGGCCGCGGCCGCGCCGCCGCCGGCCCCGGCGCCGCGGCCGTCGAAGAAGCGGGAGAAGCGCGCCGCGGACCGGGGCAAGGCGGCCTGCGACGCCTTCGCGACCCTCGAGCTCGTCGACGGCGGCGCCGGCGGCGGCATCCCGGGCGAGCGCGACGCGCGGCGCTGGTACCTCAAGGAGGGCACGCTCAGCGCCCGCAGCGCGGCCTGGGCGAAGCGCGAGGCCGACGAGGTGCTGGAGGCCGTGGAGACCTGCCTCAAGGCCAAGGACATGCCCAGGGAGCGCGGCGAGCGTTTGGCGGAGCTGTTCCTGAGCTACAAGATCGGCTTCGCGTGCAACCGCGAGGGCAAGCACTTCGAGGCCTGCAAGGCCCTGGCCAAGGCGGCGCTGAGCGCGACCTACAGCCCCGTCTTCTTCGACGCGCCAAAGGGGTCCGCGCTCGAGACCGCGGCGGCCGCGTGGACGCCAGGGCAGGAAAAGAGAGCGAAATTCCCAACTTCAAAGGCTCCGATCTCGGCCGTTTTCCACTCGTTTCGGCTGATTTTTGGACGAGCGATCATCTCTCGGAACGGTCTCGAAGCATGGATGCTTTTTCCGGAACGCGCGCGCGCGGAACACTCATGTTGAAGAGAACTTGAATCACCCTTTTCCTGCCCAGGTGGACGCGGAAGATCTACCGCGAGTGGGGCCACGCGCTCGCGGCGACGCACGACGCCGGCGGCGACCGCTGGTCCGAGGTGGCGCTGCACAAGCTCGCCGTGGCGCGCGGCGCCTGGGCGCTCTGGTCCCAGCGGCCGTGCGACGCCTACGACCGGGAACTCGAGGCGAAGCCGCAATGGTGGCCCGGCGGGCCCGGCCCCGTCGCCGACGCCGCGGCGGCCGTCGAGGCCGCGTTGGACCAGCTCAAGGCCGAGGCGACGGCGCTCGGGGCCGCCGCGGCCTGGGCCGAGCGCGACGAGGACGACGGATCGTGGATGGGCGGCGCGGTGCCCCTCGCCGCGGGCGCCGAGGCGCTCCCCGCCGCCGCGGCCCTCGCCAAGGCCCTGGGCCTCAACTGCCGCCTCGTCAAGGTCCCGCCGAAGAGCCACGTGCCCACGCGCTGCGCGTCGACGAACGCGACTTTGATCGTCGAGGCGCCGCTCGTCGGCGGCGCCCACGCGGCGCTCCGCGTCGCCGACGCGCTCCTGGCGCCCGACGCCGTCGTCGGCTACGACCCGTCCTTCGAGCACGAGCGCTGGCACGACGGCGACGAGGACGCGATCTTCCTCGTCGTCGAGGTGCCGCACCCGGGCGCCGCGTGAGCCGGCGCGCGAATTTTTCTTCGTCTGTAACGACGCGGCAATTTTGCTTTCTTTTGAGACGCACGCTCAGCCGGCCCGCCGTTGCAGACGGCGGCCGGTAGCATGTCATATCAGTTCAACCACCGGTTGATGCACTTCAAAAAAAATCGACGAGTTCAGCGATCGGCCAAGCGCTTGAGTGCAAAGCTGCGCCGACGACGGACGCAGTGGAGTTCGACGGGGCCCGACGTACGCTGCATGCGCATCGAAAAGCGGTAGAGGATGCCGAAGAAGAAGAATAACGCGAAGAAGGCCGCGGCGCCGGCCGGCGGCGACGACGACTGGGACGCTTTGAACGAGGCGCCCGCCGGCGGCGAGTCCGCGCCCGCGGCGCCTGCGGCGGAGCCGGCGCCGGCGCCGGATCCGGAGCCGGAGGCCGGCGAGCCCGGCGGCGGCGAGGGCCAGGACGCCGCCGCCGCGTTCCTGAGCTCCATGGGCGAGGGCGCGTCGGCCGCGAAGAAGAAGGACGACAAGAAGAAGAAGAAGGGCAAGAAGAAGGGCGGCGGCGGCGGCGACGACGAGGAGAAGGAGGCGCCCAAGGCCCAGTCCAAGGCCGGCAAGGCCATCGCCGAGCGCCTCGCGAAGCAGCGCGCGGAGGAGGAGCGGCTCGCGGCGGAGAAGGCGGAGCAGGAGCGCGCGATCCGCGAGGCCGAGGAGGCGGAGGCGCGCAAGGAGCAGGAAGAAAAAGAGAAGCGCGAGGCCAAGCTCGCGCGCAAGGCCGCGGCCCGCGAGGAGGCGAAGAAGGCCGGCACCTACGAGACGAAGAAGCAGAAGGAGGCGCGCCTCGCCGCGGAGCGGCGCCTCAAGTCGATGCAGGACGCGGGCATGCTGCCCCCCTCCGGCGGCCGCGCCGCGTCCAAGGTCGAGAAGAAGAAGCCCAAGGAGGTCAAGCCGCCGCCGGCGCCGGAGCCCGAGCCCGAGCCCGAGCCCGAGCCCGAGCCCGAGGCGGAGGTCGACGACTGGGAGGACGCGGGCGACGACGCGTGGGACGTCGGCGACGACTGGGAGGCCGCGGACCTGTCGTCGAATCTGGAGAAGCTCAACGCGGCGTCGAGCGCCGTCGACGAGGAGGAGGAGGACGAGGCGGACCTCGAGCAGAAGGCCAAGGACGAGGCGCTGCGGAAGGCGGGCGCGGCGTTCCGGAAGCGCGAGGAGGAGAAGAAGGCCGAGGAGGAGAAGCAGGCCGCGCTCGAGGCCGAGGCCGCCGAGATGGCCGACAAGGCCGCGCGCGAGGCCGAGCTCAAGAAGCGCGAGTGCCGCGCGAAGCGCCTCGCGCGCGAGGCCGCGCGCGAGGCCGACCGGTCGAACGACCGCCTCCGGAGCCCCATCTGCTGCATCATGGGCCACGTCGACACGGGCAAGACGAAGCTCCTGGACCGCATCCGCCAGACCAACGTCCAGGACGGCGAGGCGGGGGGCATCACGCAGCAGATCGGCGCGACGCTGCGTGGACATCAACCGCTGGTTTGGGTTATTCCAGCCAGACTTCAAACCTCTCTAGCTCGGTCACATCGAAGTCGATTCGGCTGATTTTTGGACGGATCGATGGCTCGCATCGAGCTCTCGAAGCACAGCCGAAGAGTCTGGTCCAAACCGTTCGATGACGCGCACATTGAAGCCGGGTTGAAGATTTGATTCGCACGCAGGCGCGACGTTCTTCGACAACAAGACGCTCCGGGAGAAGATCGCGCCCGTGGGCCGCTTCCTCGAAAACGCCAAGCTCGACAAGTTGGGCTACGTCGACGCCATCATGGGCGTCGGCGGCGAGCCCCAGCTGAAGCTGCCGGGTTTACTGGTTATCGACACGCCGGGCCACGAGTCGTTTTCGAACCTGCGGTCGCGCGGCTCGTCGCTCTGCGACATGGCCATCCTCGTCGTGGATTTGATGCACGGCCTCGAGCCCCAGACCCTGGAGTCCATCTCCCTGCTGAAGCGCAAGCGCACGCCCTTTGTCGTCGCGCTGAACAAGGTCGACCGGTGCTACGACTGGAAGGCCGTCGACGGCGCGTCGATCCGCGAGACGCTCAAACAGCAGGCGGCGAACACGCTGGCCGAGTTCGAGTCCAAGAAGCAGAAGTGCTGCACGGAGCTCAACGAGCAGGGCCTGAACGTGGCGCTCTACTGGGAGAACGACGACCCCGCGGCGACGGTGTCGGTCGTGCCGACGTCGGCGATCACGGGCGAGGGCGTGCCCGACCTGCTGCGCACCGTGCTGTCGCTGACGCAGCAGCGTTTGGCGTCGCACCTCGCCTTCTCCTACAACCTGCAGTGCACGGTGCTCGAGGTGAAGGTCGTCGAGGGTCTCGGCGCGACGCTCGACGTCATCTTGGTGAACGGGTGCCTCCACCAGGGCGACACGATGGTGCTCTGCACGCAGGACGGCGCCATCGTGACCCAGGCGCGGTCCCTGCTCACGCCGCCGCCGTCGCGGGAGACGCGCGTCAAGAGCGACCTCATCAAGCACGAGGCGCTCGAGGGCGCGATCGGCCTCAAGATCACGGGCGACTCGGAGCTGACCAAGGTCATCCCCGGCACGTCGATAATGGTCATGCACGCCGACGACGACGTCGAGGACATCAAGGAGGAGGTCATGAAGGACGTTTCCGGCCTCGTGGACACGCTGGCCACGGAGGCCAAGGGCGTCACCGTGCAGGCGTCGACGCTCGGAGCTTTAGAGGCGCTGCTCGAGTTCCTCCGGAACCCGGGCAAGGACCGCCAGGGCAAGGAGCGGCCGCCCATCCCCGTCTTCTCCGCCACCGTGGGGCCCATCCACAAGAAGGACGTCATCCGGGCGGCGATCATGGCCCAAAAAGGCCACGACGAATTCGCGTGCATCCTCGGCTTCGACGTGCCCGTGGACCCGGACGCGCAAACCTACGCGGACAAGAACGGCGTGAAAATCTTCACGGCGGAGATCATCTACCACCTCGAGACCCACTTCACGACGCACCTCGACGCCATCATGGAACAGCGGCGCGACGACGCGCGGAACGTCGCCGTCTTCCCCTCGACGTTCAAGATCTCGCCGCGCCACGTCTTCAACCAGAAGGACCCCATCATCGTCGGCGGCACGGTCACCGACGGCATCCTCAAGGTGGGCACGCCCCTCTGCATCCCCCACCTCGGCTTCCTCGACATCGGCGTCGTGCAGAGCATCGAGATCAACTCGAAGGACGTGACGACCGCGCGCAAGGGCACGGAGTGCGCGATCCGCATCGTCAACGCGTCGAACCCGACGATGACCTACGGCCGCCAGTTCGACGACAAGCACGACCTCTTCTCCAAGCTCAACCGCGCGTCCATCGACGCGCTCAAGAAGTACTTCAAGGACGACATGACCGACGACGACTGGCGCCTCGTCATCAAGCTCAAGAAGGTCTTCTCCGTCATCTGAGGCGGCGAAAGGGCTGGTAAGAGGGCGCCGTCTTTCGATACCGTGGGCGACTTGCGCCACTATCTCGGACTCTCCTCCGCCCCCGGGCCCCTGTCCGGATCCCATCCCTCCTTCAACACCTCCTTCAACAGTGGTGCAACTTACCACAGTGCACTTTTGCAAATCCGAGGGTGTGGGCAGGTCTCGCGCGCGCGCCGCTTTGAACCGCTGCAAACGCGCTGCGCGCGACATGGTGCAGACTCGGCGCGGGCGCGGAGCCGTCACCGACGCGGGGACGCGTCCGAGCCTGGCCCGCGACGCGCACACGTTGTCTCCCCTCGTCGCCGCCTTCCTGGACACCAGGAGTGTGGCGGACCTCATCGGCGCGCTCGGCAAGGATCCGAGCGCGCGAACGGACGCGATCTGGCACGCGCACGCGCCCGTCCTGGTGGAGTACGCAGATCGGCTGTTCCTCGCGGCGAACGCGGAGTGCGTTCGAATCGGGTTTACAATCGGTAAATGGGACAACGCCGCTCACACTACCGTGCGCAAAGTCGAGTGGACTAGCACCTGGCAAGAGATGGCATGTCAGTCGCTTTGCAAGCGGGCAAGCGTCGCGCGGGTGCAGATGGAATATTTGGCCTGGAAGCTGTATCCGATTCCGGGCTTCGAAGTCGAATTAGACGGCTCCATCGGCCAGTGGAAGGTCGTTGTCCCAGGTCCCCAGGGGACCTTCCTTCACAACGCAGAATACGATACGAAGTGGACCTTCAACGCATTCCCTTTCGAACCGCCAAAAATCCAATTCCATCCTTCCATCTTCCACCCGAACGTGTTTCCAAGCGGCACGGTCTCTTCGGCTCTCTTGAACAATGAGGAGTGCTTTGATCCTCGTTTCCGGTGTCGAGACCTTATGCTGAATCTGCAGCACCTTCTCCTCCATGCGAATCTAAACAGTCCTAGTCAAACTGCTGCTTGGCAATTCTTGGTCTCTACCCAAGATCGACTCGCAATCAGTCTCGCCTACGCTGTCAAGCTCCGTGATTCTGGCCGCGCGGTATTTCGTTCGAATGAGCCATTCGGCCATCTTGCTGTGCCACACGTCGTCTTCGATCAAGAGGAAGATTTTATGCTTCATGAGTTCCCCCCAGGGCCTCGGCCATACAACTGGCTTGAGCGCTTTGAAGGACGCCACCGACGCGTGCTTGACCTAGACCCCGCGCGGCCGCTCAGCCACGCGATCTATCCGGCCGTCGTCCACGCCCAGTGGCCACCAGATAGATATGTCAGCTAAGTTCGAACTTCGAAGGGGCTTTTGTAGGGGGCACCATCGGTTCAATGTTTTTTTTTTGAAAAAATCATATCGAGGCATCGAGAGCGTGCTGCTCTCCCGATCTGCGCGTCGTCAAGCGTCGCGCATCACAGTGAAATCATGCGTCTCGCTGTGCTGTTGCTCGCGGCAACGACGCAGGCGCTGCGCCTGACGACGCGGCGCAGCGTCATCGCGGCGCCGGCCGCGGCGGCGGTCGCGGCGCCGGCGCTCGCCTTCGACGGCCAGGGCTCGTCGGCCTACGCGGGCCGCACGCCGCAGTCGAAGCTCGAGCTGCGCAAGAGCTACCAGGAGCGCGTGGCCGCGGACGTCCGGGACTTCAGGAACCTCGGCGCGGCCATCAAGGCCGGCGAGCTCGACGGCGACGCGTTCTTCTTCTTCTTCACGCCGCAGCCGCGGTCCAAGCCCGACGGCGCGGGGCGCACCTACGCGGCGCTCGCGGACCTCGTCGGCCACCCCAACGACAACAACCCGAAGGTCCTCGAGGGCGGCTGCGGCTACCTCTTGGCCGCGAGCTTCGCCAAGGCGGGGAAACCGCCCGATAACGCGCCGGCCGTCAAGGCCTACGCGTCGCTGGCCAAGACGCTCGACCCCATCCGGGCAGCCGCGAAGAAGAAAGCCCCGGATGCCGCGGCCAAGGCCTACGACGCCGCGTCCGCGGCGCTCGGCGACTACCTCGCCGAGGTCGAGCTGCCGGGCATCGCGGACCCGCGCTACAAGTAAGGCCTGCTAGAACCCGCTGTGTGGCCAGAAGTCAGGTTTTTCGGCCAAGCTCGATTAGCGGAGCCATAAGTGGGGCTTTAGATAGGGAAACATGGGGTTCGACCTCGATGTTGAAGCAGCAAAAGAGGTGAGAGCCTGAGCGTGTGCTGTGCTCTCCCGATCTGCGCCCTCAAGCGTCGCGCACCACAGTGATCTGCTGCGTCGTCATCGCGCAGCGCAGTCGCCCATGCGCCTCGCGCCGCTGCTGCTCGCGGCATCGACGCGGGCGCTGCGCCTGACGCGGCGCGGCGTCATCGCGGCGCCGGCGGCGGTCGCGGCGCCGGCGCTCGCCT